TAAAGAAAGTAGTGTGTGTGTGTGTGTGTGTGTGTGTGTGTGTGTGTGTGTGTGTGTAACAAATTTCAACCAAGAATTTAAATAAACATGTTTAAAACTTCTGCACAAGTCCCAAAATTGTTTTTAGTACTTTCCTCTGCCACCACTATCTCATTAGTTCTGCAGATACATTTTTCCTAAGAAGAGATTTTTTATAAATATAAAAGGCCTGCAAATGAAAAAACTGAAGGGCACATTGTCAAGTCAAACTTTTTCCTGTCCCCATTTACATAAGATAGTGTTCTTGATCACTGATTTGTCACTGTTTCCAACTGTGGTTTATCTACCAATCCTCCTCCCCTCATCTATTCCTTGTTTTAATTACTTTTAAATAATCTCAATTACATAAGTGATATAAATGATTTGTAAGACTTCAGCAATATTCTAGATGTTTTGGGGGAAAACATATGTTAAAATGATATAATAGTTCAAGATAGTAAGGTGGCTTTTGTATTATTGTAAACTTTGTGTTTAGTGAAATTCTTCTCACTCTTTTAGAGTAAATAGTTAATTGTGAAATCAGCTTTTGTCATCTTTGAAGTCATCGTGCAGCAGCTCTTGTGTTCATCGTGCTCTATAACATGTTAACTTTTCTCAAGGATGTTGTTATATTGGAGTATGAGTGGTATAAAACGTTGACTCCATTGTACCTTATACTTCTAACAGGTTATGAGGTTCATGGTCTGGAAAAAATACCAGAAGGACCCGGGCTTGTTGTTTTTTACCATGGCGCAACTCCTATAGACTATTTCTACTTCTTGGCTAAACTCTTTATATTGAAGAACAGAATGTGCTATACAGTAGCTGATCACTTCGTCTTTAAATTACCAGGTAAGGGTCTTTCATTGCAAATAGTGAGCTTGGAGTATTTAATTGTAGACACACTTTTTTTAGTGATATAACACCATAATATTACTGACACACATTAATTAGCATAAGTATTCAGATCGTATCTGCCAACAGTCTATGTTGGACAGGATTTCTTTGGTCTGTAGTAGCCCAAGGCCATAATTGTCCCAGTTTATAAATATCATGTATGGATTGGATAGGATTGTTTGGTGACCATTCCTACCTCATCTGTCCCATTGAGTCTGAAAGCAAAGCAGAGGAGATCATAGCACTAAGTAGCCATCTTGATTAACCAACAGCAGCAGCTTCCATGCCTCCTCCCATTTAATAATGCAGTCAGTGATTTGGGTGACTGACTGGGGCGGAAGGGTATGAAGTGACATTCAGTAGCTGCGGGGATGCCCCTCAAGTTGCCAGAGGCAATAAAAATGTCTTTAATATCCTCTCCCTGAAAAGAATGCATAATGTAACTGGGCTTCAGCCCAAGAATACAACTACAAGTAGGATCGAGCCTCTTTGGCAGAAGGACTTAGAGGTGGTTGAGGTAGGGATACATTGGTTTAGATAAATATATCTAGGGAGGTTAGCTCAGTGGTTTGAGCATTGGCCTGCTAAACCCAGGGTTGTGAGTTCAATCCTTGAGGGGGCCATTTAGGGAACTGGGGTAAAAATCTGTCTGGGGATTGGTCCTGCTTTGAGCAGGGGGGACGAGATGACCTCCTGAGGTCCCTTCCAACCCTGATATTCTATGATTCTAAATGTTAAGGTCCTCCTGAGCACTGAGCACTAGTATAGAGAAAGTTAAAGAGGGTAAATATGGAAGCCTGTGATAATTCATTAAACTAACTTTTTATATTAAAGTAACCTAAAATTTACCTAAATGCTGATGAGGAACAAATTCCCCCAGATGCCATCTTTTGTCTTGTCCTTGAGGAAATGTTGGAATTTTCTATAAGATGTCCCTTCTTCCTTCCTTCCCAACTTTTTTCAGAGATGTCCTATTGAATAAATGTTTGAATAAAAAGTTTAGTATAGTTTGAGGTGCATAGATTTCAGAATATTTGTGCATATTATTTAAATGGATGAGGCAGTGTTCTTTTCTGAAGAACTTAGGTTTTTGGTTCTTAAATGGAAAGAACTGCCATGCAGTGTTAGGGCTTGTCTACATTACCCGTGACGGGCAGCGATTTGATCCAGCGGGGATCGATTTATTGTGTCTAGTCTAGACGCGATAAATCGACTGCTGAGTGCTCTCCGGTCGACTCTGGTACTTCACCGGAGCGACAAGCACAGGTGGAGTCGATGGGGGAACATCAGCAGTTGACTCACCTCAGCGAAGACACCGCAGTGAGTAGATCTAAGTATGTCGACTTCAGCTATGTTATTCACGTAGCTGAAGTTGCTTAACTTAGATCGATTTCCCCCCTCATCCCCCTGTGTAGACCAGACCTTAAAATTGTTCAGTTAACATAAAAGAACCTTAAGTCAGCCACCCTGCCCATCCTGTATATTGTACGGATTAGATTTAACAAACAATAATACATTGAACTGCATATTTATAAAAATAAATACAAAACAACATGTGCAGTATAGCTGAGTTCATGGTACTGTAGGAACCTTGCTCTTCCATTTCCTCTCATTTTACTTGTACATTAATTTTTCATAAACAGCTTTTTTGCATGTAATTTTAAGATTTGCAATTGTTTTTCTTTAATAAAAAAAAAGTCTTAGGCAACTGAGTGGAGTCCATCTTGGTTGACGTGCGCCTCTTAACACTTGTGGGAAAAATGGGCAATTTGGTGTTCATGTGTGTGCTGCACACATACATATATTATGGGCCAGATCCTCATCTAGTATAAATTAGCATAGTCTTATCGAGTTCCTGCTGAGAATCTTTCTGTATGAGTTCACGTTTGTGGACTTAAATTATTTTTTCACTGCTTCAAACTACATTTTGAAAGAGTCCTTTTTATGAACTCAGAACGCAGTGCTCATTAGCAAAGGCTAACTATGTAAAAAGTTTGAACTTTCAACGTTAGACTGTGCTTGATATTATTACATGGGAAGGGAGAGAGAATCAGTCTTATTTTTTTTTTTCATCAGACCCGGGAAAATCCATTGCCCAAGTTTAAACTTCAAAATTAGGATAAGCCTGGGGCTGAAGGAAAAATTTCTTCTTAAAAAAATAAAAATTAGACAAATATTCCATATGGCCAGCCATAATATTGCAGATTCTTAATCCCTGCCCTCCTATTGTTGTTCCTTTGTTTTACTCTTTTAAAAAATGAATTTAAAAAATAAAATCAGATGGCCTAAAAATAGTGTTTCTCTTATACTCATACCTCAGTTTGCTTAGGTCAGGTCTGCACTAGGAGTGTCTTGCTATGTCAGTTAAAAAGAATAAGCTGCATTATTATCGCTATCCTCCATCCTGTGAAATTACTGTACAAGTATAAATCAGCTATACTAGCAAAGCTGTGTACCCACAGGAGCACTGTCAGTATAGTATACTGGCATTCCCATACCAGTAAACACTCCTTGTGTGGACATGGTCTCAGCTTTCATTTAAAAAAAAAAAGCAAGTTGCTAGTTGTTATGGTTGGGTAGGGGAATCACTCAAAAATATGAATTGAGTGTAATCAGTGACGAGATAGGTATGTAAATTTGCAAAGAGGCTGGAATAATAGCTCTGAGAAGTGCCTCATTCATTTCAGTGAGGAGGTTAACTAAGATGCCTAGTGCTGATAATTTAAATGTAGTCATTGTTAGTTATTTCATTCTCATGTAAGAAAAGAGAGGGAATCACAAATTTGCAGTTTTCTGTGAGTGATGTTGCATTTTGGTGAGTTCTACCACTCCCAACTGTTCCCCCTCGCCCCTCCTCCCCCACAAAATAAAGGAGCTAAGCTCAAGGTACATGGCGGAGCCCATGGACATATTCAAGCCCCTCCGATAGGAGCTAAGCTCAAGGAGCCCAGAGAACACACATGTTCATGTTTTGAACATCTGCACGATCTCCCGTGAGTGGCAATTCATTTTGGCAACTCACATGGGTGAAGTTTATTTTGTGAGCAGAGCCTGGAAGAATACCACTACTTCATCTCCCCTGTCCTTCCCCATTTGACCCCTAGATAAAAGTACTGAAAGGTTCTTGTCAATTTGAAAAATGAATAATTAAACTTAATTTTGTAATTCTGACAGTCATTATTAAACTAAAATGTAAGTTGTTCCATTGATCTGTCAGAATGTGTAGCTTCTAGCCTTCTCCTCTTTAAGGCATATTCCTTCCAAGTATAAACAACTGGAAATGCAATCCTGCCTACATGAGGAAATCTATTATATAAATGCCTCAGAAACTTCATTGACACAGAGTGAAGGTTGCCTGGTGGTGCCTTGTGCCCTTTCAGAATGTGAAGAGTGGCTCAACGTAAACTTCTGAAAACCAGGAAATACAAAGTTAAGGTACATGATATCCCCTCCCCCCCAACTCCTGCAATATAACCTTAACTCTTCCCTCTGGCCCAGCATGTCAATAACACACATAGTAGCATTCTATCATTTACACAGAACATTTTGGGAACAGAGCACATGGGCATTGTAGAACAAAGCCCAACAGCTTCTTTTTGCTAAGACAAAACTCGTGTTTAAGTCTGGCTTAGCTAACAGGAACGATCTGCACTTAAACATCGAGTCTGTTTCACACAAACCATCTTAGACATGCTAAATGTAACCACCCCACCCTTAGGATTCCTTACCTTGAGGATTCCTTCTGAGACATTGCCTTGTTCCTCGCTAAGCCCCAGAGACTGCTGTCACATAGACCACCGGGCAATCCACACAGCAAGAACACTCCTGCGCACCTCTGCTGGCACAGCCTACAGAATTCTGTGCTGAAATGATGCATACTTGGACACTTAAGGTATGCATGCACCACTTTTCATATCACAGTGCCAAGCTGCTCTAGCTAATCTCTCCACCATTCAACACAGCTACACCTAACACAGTGAATGCAACTGGAGTTCATGCAGATAAATGCTGTAAATTGATTTGTGGAATGCAGCACAAAAATGATGCATTCCATTAGTCCTTCCTCAGTCTGTTTATTATAGATTGACAGATTTTAGGGCCAGAAAGGATTATTAGATCATCTAGTCTGTACTCCGGTACAACACAGGCAATAGAACTTCATCCAGTTATTCCTGTGTTGAAGCTAATAACTTCCAGAAAGGCATCCAGTGTTGATTTGAAGACTTCAAGAGATGGAGAATCCACCACTTCCTTTGGTAGCTTGTTAACCGTTGCACTCCCTTACTAGACCTTTCCCCGAGGCTATTGTCCACTCCAGAAGGGGCAGAGTTACGGTTGCATTGCAGGGCTGGTGTGGGAGTAGTAAAGTTTGACTTATCTCATCTGGTGTTGTGTGCCTTTCTGGTTAGACCAGTGTCTGACTTAAATAATTGAAATTCAAGGATGATGCAAGACAGGAAAGGGTTGCGTAATTTTAATTTATAAAACATGTCCCATACCAACTTGAATCTAATGTGAACAAAATTAGGCTCACCATATTTTTCTTTCATGGTAAAAATTTAGTCAGTACGTTTAGTTACTGTTACTGAAAATGCTGAGGGTTTTTTAATTTTCTTTCTTCACCCATATCAACATGCTCTTTGACCATTGAAGGAAAGAGCTTTAAACAATTCCGATCCATTGCACTGGTGGATTTGGTCAGAATCAAATCATGTTTGGAAAGTATGGCTTGGAAAGGAGGTAATGCTGCTGTTAAATCATCTCTTCATCATAGTTGATTAACCTGTCCAAAGGCATCTCTGTGTGTTTTTGTTAATTTGATTTGTTTGTTATGATTAAAGTTGTTACTACTGATTATGAGGTAGCACCTAATTTGATTAGGTGTGATGTACAGAGCCATTAAAAACAACCCTTTAAAGTTTAGATTTTATTGGCCAGGATTTTCAAAATCTACAAGTGATTTTTTTGGGGGTGCCCCATTTGGAATGCCTCTAAAGGGGCTGACTTTCAGAAAATGAGTGCTCTATACCTTCTGAAAACCAGATCCCTTTAGAGGTATTTCAAATTAGGTACCCCAAATCACTACTGTTTTGAAAATCTTGACCAATATATTTTGTTTTGAGACTGTGTGAAATCAATAGCTATGTAACACATTTTAAATGTTCTGTGTTGATAACTTATTTTTTACATCTTGCAGGGTTTAAACTTTTACTTGATGTGTTTGGAGTTATGCATGGACCAAAGGAAGAATGTGTTAAAGCTCTGAAGAATGGCCACTTGGTGGCTATCTCGCCAGGTGGAGTTAGAGAAGCACTCTTTAGTGATGAAAACTATGTTCTTGTATGGGGTAATCGTACGGGCTTTGCTCAGGTGGCCATTGATGCAAAAGTGGTGAGTGTGTGTGGAGGATCACAGAACAGAAGCAAAGAAGGTTAGATTTTTAGGTCTTTCTCTGGGGCTAAAGTTATTTTTCTCAGCACAGTAAAGCAAATGTTTATAAGTTATAGACGTATCATAAATATTCTCTTCCTAACTTTTGTAACTAAATTATATGATTCTGTCTCCTCTCCTGTTTCTTAATGCATGCTTAGTTGTATACTTTTTTAATTTCTTTTTTGTCTGATATTGAAATTCAGCTAACTTTCATTTTCCACAAGCTCATGTCACAAACTTTTAATAGTACACTAGTGTATGTAGTATTGGAGTATCTTTTCTAAAAATGCTAAAAAAACTATTGGTGATATATTATCCTAGCATTTGTTTAATCTCTAAGTGTCAGAATCCAGTAACCAAAATCTGAGTGCTTCTGTGGCTCAAAATTATTAGTGTGACTTAGCTAAATGACTTCCATCTTCCATACAGTACTAAACTGTTCTGCAAGATGTTACAGATGTTTGTTTAAATTCTTGGGAAATGTGAGATGAAAATATTTTGTCTTAGATGAGAAATATGCTCATGTAACTAAATGCTGGTGTAATGATGAGAGGTATAGTAGTCATATGTGGCTACAAATGCTAGCTAATGGTGTGCGTGTGTGTATTTATGATGTGGGTGTATGATAAGATAGACCAATTTGAGATTAAATAACCTATAACAATAAGGGCCTCCAAAAGCTTTTGTAAATTTGACAGCCTTATGTCAATTTCTACAGCATCATTAACAATGTATGGATAGCAGAATATGTTAAATGTTAACATAACTCCCCATAGTTTGCCCCAGCAAATGATTCCTTATATCCCTAGCCATGGTGCTCTACCCAATTTCATTTAGGTCTGAGACAATAACATTGTCTACACGTATATTAATTAAGCACTCTACGATCCCAGTCCTGCAAATCTTGCACATATGTAATTGCTTATTTAAGTCCAGAAGGCTACTCAGATAAGTAAAGTCACACATGTGCAAATGCTTGCAGAGTGCTGTGGGGGGTCTAAAGCAATACATGACTTTAACAAGATTGACCGACTGAAATATACTAACTGTACTAACTCTACATTAGCAGGTGGTATCTTCCAATTTGGACCTTTCAGTACTATGGTAAAATAGCTTGTAGAACATTGTGTTGCTCACTGAAAAATCAGCTGTCTGCCAAAAGTATTTATCAAATAAATTACACATTTGTTTTCAAATAAACACTATGTAAAACAGTCTTCCACCTATTTGCATTAAATTCTTATCTTTCTTTTTTCTCATAGCCCATCATTCCTATGTTCACACAAAATGTTCGGGAAGGAATTAGGACATTAGGAGGAATAAGTAAGATATAAAATATCTATTTTTCTATTTTAAATTTTCTGTATATGTTCAATCTCCTTACCTCAGTAGAAATACTCTCTTTAAAATCTGTGTTTAGATTTGTCATACTTATTTCTCAGAGCGGGGAAGAGAAGTCACTATGCTTTAGTGGTATAAACTGAGGTGGAATTGAGAGTCCTGTGGCACCTTTTAAGACTAACAGATGTATTGGATGCGTCTGACAAAGTGGGTATTCACACATGAAAGCTTATGCTCCAATACATCTGTTAGTCTTAAAGGTGCCACAGGACTCGCTGTTGCTTTTTACAGGTCCAGACTAACACGGCCACCCTTCTGATACTTGAGGTGGAATAGTATTGTCAAATCTTAATATTGGCACTAGCATTGGATCAGATGATGACCTACATTATTCTGTGCATAGTGAAAGGTCTTGATAAAGGAACCTGCTGCTGAATTTGCATGTAGAAGAATAAGTTTTTAGAATAATACTTTTTTCCTACATTAACATGTCTGCTATGCCTACTGTGAGTTTTCTGTTCTCTGCTGGGAGGTAGACCAGCTCTAATTAATGCTGCCTATATTTATTTAAAGGTGGGGAAAAAATCTAAACAGTTCAACTTAATTTTAATCCATATCTAATTTGCTAATCAGGCAGAAAACATGTGTGAAAATACATACGTGTTCTGCCTCTCTCTTTTCATTTACCCCTCCCCCTTCAGTTTTTTCCAAAACACACACATGAAGTCTAAACAGTCTGCTCCTAGGACAGCTAGATGACAGGGTCTCTGCTGAGCCATTAGTGCAGGTTGCCTTAGACACACCTCTCCTCCACGCTCCTCCATATGCCTTGAGTCAGAGGATTACTAGAGTAGCCACATCTATCTGTGTGGCACCTTCTGCCTCAACCACAGCCGCTCCTTCTCCTGTTTCACAGTACTACAGACAAAAAGCAATCTTTCCTCCTGACATTGCTTCCAGTCATGATCAGGGACAGAATTCTGGGCAAAGAGAGTCTGGGCAACAAATGGAGAAGTGCAAGGTAGCCACATGTTCTCCATGCACTACAAAATAGACATACAACCATTAACTGATGCAGTATTCAAGATTCATAGGCCAGAAGGGACCATTATAAACATCTGCTCTGACCTGTAAAAATGGCATATGGTAGAGGTGGGATTCAAACCCACACCCCCAAAGAGACCGGACCCTCCATCCAGCCTTAGCCAGGCTACCAGCATAGGAAAGAGGTCAGCTCAGGAAGGCATCACTGGGAATGAAACCCAGGAGCTCCTTTTCACTAGAAAGGCACTAGCTAAGCCATGGTGCTACCCTCTGTAATTCTAAAGGTACAAGACCAAACTTGGCTTTTGCAAAAAGCTCCATCCCTGGAAGTGCTACAATCTCTAGTGCCTTGGGAGTTTGTTTCTATTCTAGGAAGAATTGGCGTTGTTTCCATCTAATATCTTTCCTGCTATTTGCAGTAGGATTAGTATATATCTTAGAGAAATTTAGTTAACTTATTATTGATGTATTTTTGTCCTTTTATGTCTACCAGTTGTTGCTTTCATTACATTTGGACTTTCTTAGGTCTTATATGCTCTGTACACAAAACTTAATAACCCAATCACTGATGATTTTCTTATCCCTTTACACTCTGTTAAACTAAGTTCTAGTCTAAGGTCACAGGTCTAGTACTGTCACAGCTTTGCGATAACACCACTCTGGTGACCTTGAGATAAGTGCTTTTAAAAAAAAAAAGGTAAAATAAATAAGCATATGATGGAGGCCACTTAATGCTGACTGATGCCTCTGATTTTGTCTCCTAAAAATCAAAATATAAAATGCCATATACACTTTATAGTGCAGGATGGCTCTTTGATCTTCCACTTGGTGGGGACTAGAGCAGTAGGTTTTTTGTGTGTGCAACTCTCCTCTCTCACCCAGGTCTCTTCTGATTGAAGAGTTCCTTTCCCTTCCTTCCAGACCCCAAATCCCTGAAATTCAGGTAGCTAGTTCTATTCTAAATTCTAGTCTTCTCTAGGTTCTTATATTGC